CCAGCCACTCCTCAGAAGGAAGATGGGGCAATCTACTTCTGTAGAGATATGCCTCAGAAACCCAAGGAAGAGTGAAGGGTTGCTGTGAGATCCAACATGACAGCAGTGAGTTTTTTTTTTTTTTTTCAAACTCCACCTTCTTGCAGTTTCTCTTGAAAATTCATCCCTGGGTCCCTGGGTCTCATAATTTTCCTGGCTAAGAAATTCCTCTTCCCATCTAACCTACCACCCTCTTGGTGTTACCCGAGAGAAAGCAGCTCTTCATCTATAATCATACTTATAAATACTCAAAATGTTGACTTCTGCCATCTCCCCTCAGCCTCCATTTCCAAGTAAAGCTGCAGCCTAATGTTACAAAGCAAAACTCAAACGAAAACTACTGCTATCGAGTCAATTTCAACTCATAGCAACACTCCCACCCCATTTGGTTTCCAAGGCTGTAAATCTTTACAAAAGCAGAGTGCCTCATCTTCCTTTAAGGGAGCAGCGGGTGGGTTCGAACCAGTGGCCTTTTGGTTAGCAGCCTTAACCCACTACACAACAAAAGAAAGTACTGAAAAATCCTGTTGCTCACCTCAGGTACTGGAAACGATGCTTGAGGGTCAGCTGTTTGGAGGTGGCAAATCTTTGTAGCTAAAGAAAGTTGAGCAGGCACCCTCACTCTTCACCTCTCCCGGATGTAACTATGGGTACAAGGTTCCTGTTCCAGCTGTGGACATCATTTCTAAAGAAAGAGTGCCTTGCAAGACTAGCAGAAATGCAAGACTTTGTGGGTATTGGTATATATGGGGGCCGGAGAGGCGGAGGAAGGAGAGGGAGGTGGAGAAAGGGAAATTGGTCATGCTTTCCTAGTCACTGCCTAGTCACTTTTCTCTTTAAGACAATGCAGCAATGGAGAAAGCAGCAGCTGAGCTGGGATGGGACCTGGGTCCACATTCTGGCTCTGCCACTTGCTGCGTGACCTGAGGAAAGTCTCCTGGCTTCTCTGAGCTTCTGGTTCTGCATCTATATTTTTTAATTGCTCTGTTTCTCCCAGAGGGCAGGGATAAGAAGCAAATGCAAAATGACACAGAGGTGTTTTATAAACGCTACACATGTGTAAGTATGTTTATTACTGTGCAGAGTACAACAGTCTCTGTTCCTGCCAAAATAATTCCATAATTATGCACTACTAATGATGGAAAGGTAGCCCACAAGCACCTCTCCCTTAAACCCTCTGGACCTGGAATTTTAGGAATGCTTCCTGACATGTAACCACTCATAGCCCCTAGGGTTAAAAGCTTTCAGCTAAATTATGCCCCACCTTAGCTTCTGGAAGATGCTTTGGTGGAATAATGGTTAAGGCATTCAGCTACTAAGCAAAAGGACAGCAGTTTGAACCCACTAGCTGCTCCATGGGAGAAAGATGAGGCAGTCTGCTTTCCTAAGGATTTACAGCCTTGGAAACTCTCTGGGGTAGTTCTACTCTGTCCTTATAGGGTCACTGTGAGTCCGAATTGATACTATGGTAGGGGCTTTGGTTTTTGGTTTTAGCTTCTGGAAACCAGGAATATAAGGAACTATGTACATGGGCTGGCTTGAGAAGCTGGGGGCCCTGGAGTCCTATTACCTTGTGGGCTGGCCTCAACCTGTGTTGCTCTGCCTTGGGGTTTCCCACAGAATTCAGCAATGTGGTGTTATGTCAAGAGATCTGGTGGTATCTCCAGCTAATAAGGCACTGGAAACTTCCATGTGTGAAAGGTGGGGTGGGGAATGGGGGTTGTCAACTGGAGCAGTGTTCCTCAAAGCACATTCTACAGCATCTAGCCTTGAGGAATGCTAGTCTTGCAAGTCAACTCGATGAAAAAAGAGATTTCATATTCAGGTAAATTGAAGAAGCCTTCTATGAGCTAAGGAGGTCTGGTGGAGCAGTGGTTAAGACATCTGACTGCTAATCAGGAGTTGTTGTTGTATACTGCTGTGGAGTCGGATCTGACTCATAGTGACCCCTCCTTGGGTGTCCAAGGCAGTATCACTACGGAAGTAGATTGTCCAACCTTCCTTCTGAGCAGTGGCTGGTGGGTCTGAACCCACCAGACGCTCCACAGAAAAAAGATGAGGCAATCTGTTTGCATAAAGATTTACAGCCTTGAAAACCCAGTGGGGGTTGCTATGAGTTGGAATCAACTCAATGGTTGTTGGTGTTGTTATTATTTGCCGTCGAGTCGGCCCCGACTCATAGCGACCCCTCCTTGGGTTTCCAAGGCAGTATCACTATGGAAGTAGGATTGCCCAACCTTCAACTCAATGGTAGTGAGTGAGATATGTGCTAGCCTCCTCTTGGAAATGTATAATGCTCTGAGAATACTAAAGATTTTGAGAAGTCCCATGGTGCTGGTGGTGATGGTGAGGGGTGTGTGTGTGTGTGTGTGTAACTTTGTTTAACTTAGCATTTCCCATAAGTATTTGACCATGGTCCCTGGGGAACACATATTAGGGGGTAGAGGGAGAACACTGGGCTCCAAATCAAAGATTGGTAAATTATGGCCCGTGGGCCAAATTCAGGCCACCTGCTAAGCTAAGAATAGTTAGTCCTTCTTGCTAAAAAGAGTTTTTACATTTTTTAAATGTCTGGAAAAAAAATCAAAAGAAAAATCATATTTTTCATAAGGTGACATTAAAAAATTACATTAAATTTAAATAAAGTTTTATTGAGAGAAAGCCATGCTCATTCATTTATATATTGTCTTTGGCTGCATTTGCACTAAAAAGGTAGAGATGAATAGCTGTGACAGAAACCATATAGATAGCAAAGGCTTAACATATTTACCATCTGGATCTTTACAGAAAAAGTTTGGTGACTTGGCATGCCTGGTATCTTTCTGCACAAACATTCTAAAGGTCTTTTAAAACTTGGAGTGAGAAAGAATGTGATGCAAAGAGCATGATAACTGTCTCCAGCTCAGTGGAGAAGAAAGAACAGAGGACAGGGTGAAGAATAGGTTTTTGCAGACCCTTTTCAGTCTTTCTTGCACCAGCATCCCCTCCCTCCATCACTCACACATGTTGTTTGTTTTGAAGCAGTGTACTTGTGTGCAATCCCCAGCCAGCAGCTTGACCGGCTGCTGGCACTACAGGGAACACACTTCCTCCTTTGCTCTCGGAGGGCTCTCAAAGGGCCCGAATCTTGCTCTCTAGCCCTAGGCAGGGGCCACATCACACCCTTTTATCCTTTTCAGGATTTGGAACATTCCCGAAAATTCCTAAATACTATAGGAAAGAACTGCATGGGTGGTACAAATGGTTAACACACTTGCCTGCTAATGGAAAGGTTTTAGGTGTGAGTCCACCCAGAGGCAGTTCAGAGGAAGGCGTGGTGATCTACTTCTTAAAAAATCAGCCATTTAGAACTCCATGGAAAAAAGGAAAACAAAAAACCTCTATGGAGCACAGTTATAGTTTGAGACATGAGATCACCATTAGTCAAGTGCACTCAACAGCAACTTGTTTTTACTGTGGGTAGAA